AGAGAGAGAGAGAGAGACACACTAGGCAGCACATTATTGAGAGTGCTCTGTCGTCTTTGAGGTTAGACATAATTAGACAGAAGTAGACTCTAAAAGCTCCTTTTAATGACAATCTACACAGACAGCTGCGGGTTAAATTTCTCACTCGCTGCATTATTTTGTACAATTTCATAAACAAATTAGCCCCGTGGAAAACAGAGGACGTGACACAACAAATATCGCACGAGGGTCAAATGGGACCAGGTGGATGCTATGTTGCCTCTGTATGTCCTGAGGAAACGTGCAAACCTAAACTTTACTCATCCTGTTAAGGTTAAAGTGAACATCCACACAAGAGGCAGGCAGATGTGTTTGCTGACCACAAGACGGGCCAGAGACAGGGAGCAAAGATGGCGTGATGGGAGCCACGGCTCCTTGGAGCATACTGATGAGGAGAGGAGGGAGGGGGGAGGACAGCGAGGAGAGAATATGTCTTCTGTTGTTCCCCAGCCTGCAGAATCAATAGCTGACATGAGCATAATGTAAGCCCTCTGTGGTTCCCGGCTCTATGCGGAAAACAATGGAATTCACAGGGTCCCGCCACATCTCTCCTTAAGGCAGCTCTCTACTCCGGCTTGTCACAAACACCCTGTGATCTGACCTCACCCATCTGCTTAGGGATTCGTTATGTAATCTGAGGAACAAGGCACTATATGTGGAGTCACGGCGAGAGGGAGGAAAGGTCTGCTCCTGCTGCACTGAGACGATCAGGATGGATTTTTAAAGGTTAAACATGATCATTAAACTGGAAATGTTTGGATGGTGTGTTTGACAGATGATCACCATTACACCCGAAGCCCATGGTGCATTGTTTTGTCTGGCCAACACTCCAAAACTCCAAAATATGCAATTTAGAGTGATATCAAAAGACAGAAAATCAGCAAATCCTCAAATTTGAGAAACTTGGCATTATTCCTATGTTTAATCAATGTATTTTATGTAAACTGATGTGTTTCAGCACTAATATTTTGTGTATTTTTTGTGATATGTTATTTTATCCCTCCATTAAATCCACCACAAGTAGTTCACTTCATCATGATATAGTCCTCTGGTTTTATATGCACAATAAAACCCACAATGCATAACAACTTGAATTATTCGCCTCTGGCATAAACTTGACCTGATGTTCAGCTGCTAAAAAGTATCCCAGGTTAGATCCAGCCTCTCTCACATGGGAGTGAAGCCACTAAAAGGAATAATTACTGCATTCTCCAGGATGAGGAGCCGCCGCAGTCTGGCCATGAAATCAGTCTTATCTGGCTTTGAGCCAGCAGCACGAGTTCCCTCTGTCACTTCAATTAGCACACTGTAAGCTCTGCAGGCAGGGAGTCCCGAACAAACAAGTGACAAGAGCAAACAACGCATGTAGTGCATTGTTTTTACTTGTACATTTGTATTTCCTCTACAGCTTCATCATTTAAGCTATACCTCCGGGAACACTATATTGCAATAATGTATTTCCGTCATTGCAGTTGCCTTCGGACACTTTGAGCGTCAGGTCTGGGCCAAAGAATTGAGATATTTCTCACACTGGTGCTGGATCTTTAACATCAAATAGCGTCAGCAAACAATCCAGCTCCAGTGTGCACCCAAACAAACACTGGGGAGGGGGAAAGCAGCAGAAAAGTAACTGAGGCACAGATTTAAATAGAAAAACCCAAAAGGGAGGGGGGGGGAAATCAGCAATGTACAGACCTGGTGTGGACTAACAGCTATCTGACCTCATAAAATCTGATTTTGATGATCAAATATGAAAAACTAAAAAAGAAAACAACCCGAAGTGTAACCATTTGGGAGCCTATATGGAGCGTAAATGGGTCATGTGTAGACTGGAGTGTTTAACAACTCCTTACCTTCCTTCGAACAACATCCAGTGACTTTTCATAGAGTTCTGCTGCTGAAACGACAATCATAAACACATCCCGAGAAAATCGACGATGTGATTACAGCATTTAAGTATTAAGTAGTTTCAAATTTAAAAGGTGCACCGCTGATTTCAGTTTGGTCACCATAAAAAGTACGACACAACCGGTGAAAACAGTGGTATCCTGTATTTTGTGGCTCTGGAAGAGTCTGAAAAATAACCCCTGATGATGTCGTTACAGTTATTTTGGCCTCAAAGAAAAAGCCTGCATTACAAACTGGAGACAGGCATTTAGGATGTTGGATGAAAGACACTATTAAGTTGCATTATGGGAAATGTAGGATCCATTTATCCCCCCATACTAGGGAGTCAGTGTAACTTCTGCTGCTTTGATTTTTATCGTTCTTTTTCAAATCTGTGTTTCTCTTGTCTCCCAGCTTGATGGAAGTTCAGTACTACATTTCTGGAGTACCCCTTTAAGCATTAGTCTATACTGGGGGTGGATGATATGGACATAATCTCTATCAGGGTGAATGTAATTTCATGTCATGATAGGGATACACAGTCTATGGTGAAACAATATTTTTTTAAGGATATGTAATTGAGAAGCAGTTTATAGATGGGAATGTTTTTGGTAGTAGTAAATCCGGTATTGCCATAAAGCAGTCCTCCTCCTCATTGATTTGTGACACTGTCCTCTATGTTCGATTACAGAAAAAGTGATATAAGTATGAACAGTGTAACAAAATGTCTGATCATCTCATGCTATACATCGCCATATTGCCCATCCCTACTCTATGCATTCGTAAGCATGTTATAGTCAGCAATATACAAACAGTAATATAAGGGTTTTTAATGTAAACAACTGTGCACTTTCATGGATTCTATAGTCATCATTTACTATCTTTCCATCATCCACTGTCTCTCTCTCACATTTCATTTCCTCTTTCTCTCAGCTGAATCTTTCCCCTTTTTTATTCTCTGGCATCAACTGGAAATGTCACTCATACTGTGAGAAGTGAATTCCGCTGCCTCACTGCTGAGACCGGGGAGCAATGTTGCTGCTGAAAATAAAACTAATTCATAACTGTCTCTCCTTATTTGTGCAAAAATGATAAACGTAAATATTCCATCTAAATTAGCCAACATAGATGTGAACGATTTAGTGATGTCTGCCGGAGCCCGCAGATGTCAGATGTCAAATGTGACAAGCGTCTAAAGAGATATGCACATTAAACTCAAGCTGCTATGTTTGGATTTGTGGATTTACACAGTCCAAAGTCAGAGGAAGACTGGAGGAGGATTTAGCCTGAGGAATACTTTTGGTGCAGCAATATAAAGAGATATAGACCCCTGCTGAGACTGTCCTGCAATATCAAAACATGGCTGGACTGTTTTAAAACCATCACCACAAATCTGCTGTGGCCCCTGGAGTCTATTTATAGCTTTAGACTTCATCTACTTTAGGTCTCGCCCTAAGTAAGTTTAGTCTCATCTGGAATAATCAGGATCCACTACATCACTGCTACATCTTAGAATTTCATCAGAGATTTGGGAGCATTTGCATCCACGATGTACAGTTTGTGTTGGGGAAAAGAAAAGGTAGATTTTGGAGGATTTTGAATGAAAAGTATATATAAAAATAAAAATAGGATTTCCCGATTTGATATGTATGCTTACAGCCGTCCGTTCCACAGGGGCAGAAAAGCCGCTTTTCAATTTAAACCAGATTAGTCAATAAAACATTGCTGGGACACAGCGAGTGATGATGTGCCTTAGGAATATTAACTCTGCTTTCCACCAAGAATCAACAATACTGTGACAAACAGTATTCAAATGCTTGACCTACTGCCTACAAACACTGACACAAGACAATATATCAGTTGTGAAGAATGTGTCCTTCAAGTGTTCCATTATTGTTGCTGTTGCTGTTATATTGTGTTATATTGTGTGAATCGAAGCTGCCTTTTGTTGAGTGTGAGCAGCAGAAAATCATCCATCTCATCACGGCCTTAACCTGCAAAACACTGTAGTAACTATTAATGCTTCATATATCGCTGGCATGTATATTTTATGAGCGCCTTGTAGGTTTTGAGTCAAAGAAAACAGTAACTGCAGCAATACAAATATTGAAATTTTCATGCATTGTACTGGAGGAAGTTTTCTCAGTAGCTAAATGAGATAAAGTAGTCAGCTAACAGATGTTTTCTTTTAGTATTTCGAAGAAACACAGTAATATAAAAACCTACACACATTATGCGTTTATGAAAGCCTGAATACTAAATAACAGAATGCCCAATGCTGAATTAAAACCTACACAGGGAGGTAGCTTTACTTCTAAACATACTGTGTACATTTGAGAATGGGATTTGCTGAAAGTCACTTATTTGAACAAAATAAAAGACCAGCAACACTTTCATGGGCCTCAATAAACTTTTTCCTCCCATGTCTGCACACATTTTGTGATATTTAGATATGAAAACACCTGACCAGCCAAAGCTCAGAAGCCTATTTAGCTTGCAGCTGCAAGCTTGGGGTAACCCTCCGTCCTGGCACACACATCACAGCATTGTACTATGACATGTAGCCGAGTAAAAGGGTATCAAAGTATAGTAACAGTTCTAGGAAGCAAATGTACTCAGTTGCATAATGAGGAAACCCACCTATTAAAGTCCTCACTGATGCATGCAGCCAGCTTTAAATAAAAAGCATCAGCTGCTTCAAACACAGGAGCATATCCTTCAAACCTGCCGCCACCAGAGCACCAATGACATCATCGTCATCATCTTCATCCTGATCAGTCCTGAGCTCGAGCTGCCAGACAGCATCATCACCTTTCCTCCCCTGTGCTGCAGCCTGTCTCTGCTGCTACAGCACACACACACTCGGAGCGGAAGGAGACTCCTGACACAGCTCGGACCTGAGAGGTGAATCTCTCCCACTGAACACCGAGACGTCCCCCAAACATCCCCGCACTCACTCACTGACCGCAGTCTCTATCTCATTAGAGCGGATTAGAGCCTGACGATGAATGGACGTCGCTCCAGCGGCTTTATTCCACTGAACTATCACACTGGGGTCAAAGCGGGCTCATTACAAGGCTGCACACTGTACCTACTGTTTATTTGGACGACTGGAGATGCAGGAAAAAAGCATTTGCAAGGGCTTGCAAGCTCGCCAGGAAAATTAAATAAAAAAAAAATCTAAATGAGAGAGCTGGAAGGGCAGCGGGGAGGAGATATGTGATGACAAGTTCAAATCAAGCAGTGGATGCTGCATTTAAACGCGAGCCTGTTGATGTGATTACATCTAAGTGCACACAAACACATTTAATTGACATTAGGATGAAGGTATTCCCTGCACCTCGGTGCAGCATCGCGCGTGAATCACAAGAAATGTGCATCCGCAAGTGAATCCAAATCACAAACGAAGCTGCAGCTCGACCACATACCTTCATTGCACCTCCCGTTCGAGGAATCTGCCGAGTAATGTCAGGACGACGACCATTGCAAGTGCACAGGGAATCAAACCATTACGTCTTCCCTCTCTCCAGCTGCCTGTGTGTGTGGAGTAAGCATAACGTAATGGCCAAGAGTGCCGCAGCCAACCACAGAGCGCACACAGCCGCTGGTATCTTTAGCAGCCAATCCGCCTTAACGCGTCGCCGGAGTGGGCGTTCTTTGCCGTGCGTAAAGACGCATGTGTATGAGTCCGAGCGACGCATGATGCTATTTTCACAGCTTCGGTTTATCCTAGTAAATTAGTAAATTAGCTTTTTTTTCAGTTTAAGGCAGTTGTGTGTTATAATAAGCGTGAAAAAATATGTAATTGTTATTTTTTGGGGTTTATTTTATATCACCAAAATATTCTGCACTATGGAGTGAAAAGCAAAATAAATGTTTTTTTTTGAGGATTTACATTTTTTCATGGCCTTTCTTCAATCAGAGGAGGTAAAACCAAGATTATCCTCTGCGCCGGCAAATGCAGTGTTATTTCTGTTTGGTACCAAAACTAAATGCGTCTACAATCTTATTTACCGCCATATTTAGCCTGTGTGGGTGCATGTGTGCAAGCCCGTGGCTGCACACACACACACACGCACAAGCCTTGCTGTCTGCAGTAAAGAGATTAGAGGGGTTTTCTTCCATTGTCGCCAGTACCGCTGTGAGCCCACAGGGGGCAGCAGATAGCGCTGCCACATCATTATTATCATTCAGACATAAGTGAGCCCCAGGGGAGGAAAGCTGCTCCTGCCGCTCGATATGTTATTACTGTTACAAGGCAGCATAAATCATACATTACATATAAGTTATGCAGCTGTTGCAGTGCAAAGGGACAAAAGGTGCAGAGGAATCAGAATGATGCAAGTACAGTATAATGCTGCTGCCCGAGTCTCTTTAAATTCTCTGCCATTTCCAGTACATCAAACAGTGACCCTACTATGTTGATTTTACTTCACACAACCACATTAAAAGATCTGTGGAGGGCTGCGGGCCACCAGTGACACACTTAAGAGCTTTGGATTTGGCCTGAATATTCTTCCACAGCGTTAAAACTTCAAAGTTTTATCGGAGGATGGAAGACTGCCAACTCTTCCTCACGTGTGATTGATGAAGACAGATTAGCAGTGGGGTTTATGTAGCTGTGACTTTAATTTAAAGGGTCAGTTCATCCAAATTGCAACATATCTTTTCACCTACCTCTAGTGGTAATACTAATACCTTGGTTTTAAATCAGTTTCTGGGATTTCTGCCTCCTAAATACAATGAAGGTGAATTTAATTATGTTTGTGGTGCTAAAAACTTGAAACATTGAAAAAAAATCAGCAGCAACATCTCTTTTTCCAGAAACATTTCTCTGGATAATCCACAGAGCTCACCCGTTGACAGTTTTCATAGGGACTATTTCTTTAGTAGAGAGTAGAGCCAATGAAAACTGTCAGTAGATTATCTACAGTAACTGGGACACTGTTTCTCAAAGGTTATTTTAGTGATTCTTTTTAATGGAATTTTTTATGCTGACAGGACCAAATGACATTTTGTTATTTGGGTGAATCAAACATTTAACTTGACCCTTTTCCTTCCCTTTAATCAAGCTTACAGATTGACCCCATTTGACAGTGAATGTCTATATAAACTTAAAATTATATTATTATTATCATCATTATTGGACTTACAAACTGACAAATACAAAATGATCACATTGTTCTCTCTAGCTGTCGTAGTTTGGTTGTGAGGATGCCAGTAAAGTGTGAGCTCATTGTCATATACCTTTAAAAACAGAGGGTGCACACACACACATACTGTTTTTGACTCTTTGGAGGACACTGCATCGAGCTTAAACTGTGCACCACATGCTTAATTATAACCCTAAAACTGAATACTGAAACATTAGGTGTCTGTGTGACCAGGTTTACAGTGGTGGAAGAAGCACTGTGTACCAAGTATATAAGTATTATCAGCAGAATTAAAGTACTCATTGTGCAATAAAATGGTCTCTGTCAGTGTTTTACTATGATATATGATGTTTTTGGATTAATATTACTGCTGTATTAAAGTGTATGTTGCATTTTACTGCTGCAGATGTTTAAGGTTGAACTACATTATACACTGTTGAGTAGTTTGATCTACAGCAACGCATCATATTCTTTAAGATCATCTATCATATGTTTGTAGTGTAGCTGTCCTGTGAGAACCTCATATCTAAAAAAAAAAAGCAATTTCAGCATTGTGATGATGTATTTTCCAGCTAATGTAAGAGGGGTTTTGAATAGTTTATTTAGCTTAAGAAGTAGGAGAATATTCTCAACCCATAACACTTAATTCTTTAGTTTATCAGAAAAAAATCTTTTTTTTTTTTGGAGATACCATGTGTGGTATGTGTGTCACTAGATGGGAAAGGTATGAAAAATTGTAATCTGAAAAGCTGTCAGACAAATGAAGTGGAGTAAAAAGTACAATATTTGCCTCAGAAAAGTGGAATAGAAGTATAAAGCCTAAAATGAAAATGCTCAAGTAAAGTACCTCAAATTTGTCCTTAAATACAGAACTTGGGTAAATATGTAAATATGTATTTAGTTACCTTCCACCACTGCAAGCATGTCTATGAGTTAATACAAGAACAAAAGGTTTGAATACCTTCTATGATCTCCATTTTCAGAGGTTCTGGAGTCTGAGAATCAGTGCCAGTCTACTCAGAATTAAGTCAGAGTGGCCAAAAGGTGACATGAGTGACTTTGAATGTGATTGCTGATTCTAGATAAGGCGTTCACAGAGTGGTGCAACAATCCTATCAGTGAGTGTGATTAGAAGAGAACTGGCAGAGACACTCCAGATGTGAAGTGAGCAACAAAAGGAACAAGGCCAGTGGGAAAAGACACATTATCTAAACAGGGAAAATAAACATCTGTCCAATGAAACAGAACTAACACCACAGATCCCGTTAATGTCTCCCCCCAGTCATACTCTGTTTACTGTCACGTGATCTTTCTTTTATTTTATTTCCTGCACATATTCAGCCACGTAGTCACAGTTTCAGTTTCCTCTCAGGCTTCACAGGAAAATGAAACCTTGTACATCAATGGCCTTTTAACAACAAACAATTAACATCCATTTTATGACCTATAAAAAGACTGACTGATGCAATTACTTTGTTAAACATCCTTAATTACAGCTGCTTTTCCTTCTTCTTCGGAAAGTCCAGAATCTTTGAATATACAAACATTGTTCATCAAACGTTTGACTAGTGGACACAAGATGTCTCCAACTTCTCGGAAAAATCCACTCTCAGTGACTATGACCTGGAGGCTTCCCATTTTCACATGATATTAGCTGTAAATATCCCCAAATCAACTTGTATGTACCTGTCTTAAACTCAGATTGAGCAGCAAATCTTCACATTTGGGAAGCTGGAACCAGAGGATTTCAATCAGTTATTCAAACACTTAAAGGACTACTGTGTTTTACTCAGTGGAATCTAGCAGTGAAGCAGCAGATTGCAACCAACTAAATAGGCTACTGCTCGTCTTCCAAGCGTGTAGGAGAAA